TATCTTAGGGGCTGCTATAGTTTGGATATTGTTTTTCTACCACAAGTTCATGTTAGAAGCTTAGTTCCCAGTTTGGCAGTTTAAGGTGGTGGAGCCTTTAGAAGGAGGGGCCTAATGGAAGGTGATGAGGTACTGAGGAGATTAATGTATTTGTAGTAGAAATTCCGAAGTTCCTGTGAGAATGGATTATTAGCAAGTGCAGCTTTCTTGGCTAACTTTTTACTTCATGCACACATGTGACCCTTCACTATATATACAGTTCCTTGTCAGCATGCCCATTCTGATGTAACACAGCCACGGGACCTTCTCCAACGCTGGGGTCACCCACACTGCACTTTTTAGTTACTACAATAACGAGCTAAATAAACCCCATTTCTTTATAAAATATAGATATTCAGGTATTTTGTTATGGCAACAAAAATAGATTTAGAGGTATTTTAATATTTTCAGAGAGGAAAGAAAAATAGAATAGATACAGAGGAGAATCTCGAAACAAAAAAGGCTCTAATGTATTCATCTGCCAGACCTTTCATGCACATCAACTGACTGAAGATTGCTTGTATGTCCCGATAAATACCTCTTAATGTTAGCACAAAAAGTGACAATCATGTGAACTACTGATTTCATAAACATTTAGTCTGAATCTTCTTGTCTCTTAACATTTGTCCTTTTCTCAAAATTAGAATCTTCAGAATGCAAACACAGTCACATTAAGAAATGTCATGGGCCTGGTGGCAAATGTTTATAATTCTAGCACTTGGGAGACTGAGGCAGGAGGATCCCTGAAAGTTCAAGGCCAGCCTAGGCTACATAGTGAGTTCAAGGCTAGCCTGAACTTTATAGTGAAACCCAGTCTCAAAAAAAAAAAAAGAAAAAAAAAGAAATTACATGTCAACAAAATAATACCGCTTTATTTTATTGGCACTATACACTGAGTACTTACATTGGTTCACAAACTATGCTAAAGGATTTATATGCATGTTGACACTGAATGCTTCCAGAAGGTAGTTTTTCTTACTATTCTCATTTTGTAGATGAGGAGATTGAGGCTTTGGGAAATCACTTCAGATCACAAAGCTGAAATGCACTTTTGAAGCTTATTCTCGCCAACTCTAAGACCTGTCTTGTTACCCACTCTTTTTTCCCTGCCTTGAGCTGTACATCCTGTAACACTAAGGCACTGACTGGCACATTTTTCTATGACATCAATTTCATGTCAGAAGGATACCTTAAAGCAAAACAATCTTTAGAAACAAATTTCAAGATGTTTTTAACATTGCTGGAAGCTTAAAGCTCTTGTGAAAATCATTTAATACTTTTCATAAGATTCAGCAATCTATCTCTACAAATACTGAGGAAATTAATATTTTTAAAAAGTAATCATTTTACTTGTCTTTTTCCTGAGTAATAGAAAGATACTTTTAATTTCTTAGAAACCTAAACTTAATCAATAACATAATATGCAGTGATAATAACTTTTAATTTTAGAAACCTAAACTTAATCAATAACATAATATGCAGTGATAATAATGGCTAGAAGAATGTAGTGTTTAAGAGTTCATTTTAATCAATTTAAAAGTATTTCCTTTAAATATTATTTAAAATTATGATACATTAATAATTCCAATACAATTCTAAAGTATAGTCAACGATTAGTTAAATAAAAATACTAGGTTTCAAATTTGTAAGTGGTAAAAATGCTTCCTTTTTATAAATATTGCTTTAAAATAGAATTATAGAAATATATAAAAAATAAATGAGCTATAAGATCTAATCTAGTCCAGTCTTTTTTTGTTTTATAGCTATATTTAAAAAGGAAGGAACAAAGCCATGGGCTTCAACTATGCAGGTTTAAAGTCAGACTCAACTTCATGTCCCTATTCTGCCCCTTAACCAGCTTTTTACCTACATTCACAGTAACAGAGGCAATTCTTAAAAGTACCCTGCCTAGAAAGCAGGACTACTATAAACTGAGAACTCATATAAAGGACTTTGCTCTTGAAAACAAAAATATTTTAATTTGCTCATTCAACAAATATTTATTAAGCATATACTAGCAGTGTGACCTTGGCAATTTACTGGATTGCTTTCTGCCTTAGTTTCCTGAGCTATAAAGTGGGAATCTACATGTCACAAGGAATACATGGATTCATGTGTGTAACGTGTTTCTGATAGTTTCCAGCACACTGGAAAATTTGGGAACTAATGTTGGAGATCATTATCATTCTTCTACTGCTACTATCCAGCTATGTTAGGGAAAATAATTGGCCCCAGGGATATAATTTGGGAGCCCTATGTAATATTTTCCTTCCAATTACTAAAGTATCTCATTGTGTAGAACTAATCTCTCACTCCACTCCTCAGTTCTGGTAGTGAAGCCATTTGGAAACTTCTTCATGGGGGTTTTGTTTTGATTGTTAGCCTTCACAATGAAAAGAAAAATACCGCACTAACATTTTTCCCATTCTTTGTGTTTTTCCCTTCCGATGTCTTTAAAGTTTCACCAGGTCTCTAGGTAACAAACATGAGTTTCTGAGTGCATGAAGAAGCTGGCTGTGTCCCCAGAGAAAACAGCAAAGCTAACTGTTCCCTCTGGGGAGTTAAACCTTATACGTAGCCCACAGTGCCTGGAACCATAATCAGCTGGAATAACAAGCCAGAGAAATCCAATAATTGCTACTTTACTATCTTCGGTTGTTCTATGATGATCCAGTGAGTTAATAAGTTTTGTAGGCTCCATAACTCATGTCTGATGAATTAATGTAGATTCCATTCATGTCCTAAAATTCAGGATATGGCTGAAGTCCCACATAACTTACTTATGATCTTGAAAATCATAGATGATGAAAAAAGAGAGGTTGTGCAGTGTCTTAGTCTCACTTCTAAGAAATTACTATACCATCCCTGAGAAGTGGAGAAGTCAACAAAACTTCAAGCTGTGAAAAAAAAAAAAAGGAAGGCTCTCTCCAAAATTCATTTTTGCCATGTCTTATTAAAGAAACAAAGTTCTCAGTGTGGAATTTCTCAGCCCCATTGTGTGTGTGAGTGTGCACGTGAGCGCAGGTATTCACTGGCTGTCATTCTCAAGGTAGGAAAGTGAAACATCCCTCCCAAAGAAAAAAGCGCCGTTTGTAGGCTGAACTTGTTTTTTCCCAACAGTAGAGGATATTTCACTTGCTAGCCCTAGCATCACTGTTCTTTGAATCATTCCGGTTTGACACAAGTATTTTTTTAAGGGGCTAAATTGAGATTAAGAATAAGAGAGAGGACTTCACTAGTTCTTAGGACACCCAGCTTAAATTTCCCTGCATGAAACATTTTCACTGATGCATCCCAAGAGCTTTCTGTCTTTGGTAACCCAAAAGCTAGAATGGTTAGTCACTGTCACCTTGTTAACTTGCTCTAATACCACAGCCCAGGAAGCAGCCACATCTGAATGAAGTAGGCAGTGGCTCTGAGAAAAGCAGGTTCCGTCTAGGGTCCTATTCCATCTCCATTCTTTTGATAGGTGCAAGACATTAGACAAATTAAACTTTGCTAGGACGAGGAACTTTGCAGCCTCCCCCCCCCCTTTTAAGAAAAACAGTTGAGATATATTAAGTGACTTGTCCAGAGTCACAATGAACCTCTTTGTGGCTCTGGTCCCTTAGTTACTGAAAAAAAGAATGGTAAGACTTGATCTCTCAGAATGTTGCAAGTAAAATGAGACACATATTGAAAGACTCTGCAAAGTTTAAATTTCTAAAACATGAAACGTTGTTAGCTTTCTTAATCAACTCAGCTATGTCTTTCCTTCAGGAAGTTTGTGCTCTTCCTGACTTTCTGTTTCCAGCCTTTCCTGTGTCCTCAAGATACACTGAATACTGATAGCATCGTATAAGGGATGAACAATTCCATCCCTTGTTTAAAGTTGTAGACAAACTTGAGTCTATCTCTTCTCAAGCAATCATCCAACCACTTATGATCAATAAGACTAGATCTAAAATTGTTTTCTGCTAAACGCTTGTGTTCTCGGTGATAGCCTGTTCTGTGTATTAGCCACAATGTTTCTTAAATCCTTTGTTGACAGTCACTATCTGAATTAATACTCTCCAGTAATTTTATAGCTCATGATTTCCGTATGACAGCACACTGTATTGCACCTGATATTCTGCCTTCTGTAATCTCCACTATATTTAAACTCACTGAGGGCAAAGACACTGTGTAAGGAAGAGGGTTTCTCATTCTTGGCACTATTTACATATGGACCAATTAATTCTTTTTGTTGGAGACTGTCCTGTGTGTTTTAGTACATTTAGCATCACCCCAGGCTTCGACCCAATACATGCCAGTAGTATCTTCCCCTGTATCACCTGTGATAACTGACAAAGGGCAAAACAGAGGGAGCTCTAGCTCAGTCTGAAGACCTGGGCTCAATACCCGGTGTCACCACCAGAAACCAAAACCAAAACCAAACAAAAACAGGTCTCCAAATATTGCCACATGACCCCTGAGGAAGGGTATGTGTACATGTAAAATCACCCCTGTTTGAAACTCTGTTCAGAGTGCTTTTCTCATAGTATTCAATATATTTCTATAAGAATATATGGATTGATGGAAACAAAACACTTATGATGGATTTAAAGTACAAGATGCAGAAAAAAAAGCGAGCTAACTTCTCTTGGTGTTTAGTGCCCCTGTAATGCCTAGAATACAGCTGTTATTTAGTATCTATTTATTGGATGAACAAATGTTCAATGGTCATAAACAGTTCCTGTATCCCTGATAAAATTCTTTCCCCAAAGAGGCCCAGGTGAGGTAGGAAGCAGTCAATATGAGAGGGGGAAAAAAAAATCTTTAAAAGAACAAAAGCATCTCTTGGCTATAGAATTAGGTATTTAAAAAAAAAATCACCTTTTAGCAAAGATAAGAGGCTGTGCTCCCAGACTTTTAGCACTCCATATAATCATAGGATTGAGGCAGAAATCAGTCTCTGTGGTGGTAATACTAGAAACACCTACCAGTAGTCCTGGATCCTTTGAAACACAATGCTGGAAGTGATGTGAAGCATCAAGAGGCTTGCAGGACATCTAGAAGGTCATATATTCAGCCATTAGTGTCATAAATGGGAACTGAGGTTGAACCTCCTTTCTGCACAGTACTTGATTACACTGATTATTATGGATGCAAATTAAGACATTACTATTGTGAAATAACAATGCAGGTTAATGATATTCTTTTTTTTTCTTTTCTTTTCTTTTTTTCTGGTACTGGAGCGCAAACTCGGGCCCTTGTGCTTGCAAAGCAAGCCACAGAACCACTGAGCCAAATCTCCAGCCCTGGTTAATGATACTCTTTACTGCCATGCTAACATTTTTTTTTTCTAGATGGGAAAATAGGCAAGAAACTAATTAAACACCTTTCTTTCTTTGTAAAGCTTTTATAGTTTTCCTAAATGAGGATTCTCTCATTGTGCTTGCTACTTAATAGTACAAACTTATTTCTTGTTATGTCTTAGGTCTTCCTGAGATAGAAAATACTGGGGCTGTCCAGGCTTCTTGTATGAATTGAAAATGACTGTATTAATACATTATTCCACAAAGGGTAGTCATAAATAGGAAGAGAAAATATTTTGAAATTAATATTTAATGGACATTCTCCTGCAGGTTAGGCATTGTTGCAAATGCCTCCCTTGGAAATCTTTGTCAGCAAAAGGCTTGTGAATGCCCTTCCTTGAACATTCCTGTAGAATGCCTCGAGTGCCCATGAATGAAAAAATGGCTCCAGAAAACTATCAGGCTCGGTTTGGTGGTCCCAAACTTTAAATAATTGTGCTTTACGCCCAGATCTATATCTTAAACAAGAAAACCTTTCATTAAGATGTCATGTCACATGTATAGTGTTAATGTAACTATGGTAACCAAAAGTGCCACCAGTGTGTCTGTTTCATACACAAATGAGGGGACAGCTGTGGAGTCCACATGTCTGCCAGTGGTATAATAAATGCGAGTGAGGACAGCCTGGGTCAGAAAATTACAATTCATTTATATTAATCAGAGCTTTCAAATAACATTCCAACCCCTGAGCTATAAAGAGTGTAAATGGAAGGCAATAAGCCACTATAAAAGCAGTTTTCATTCCACAGCTTTCAAAATGAGGTATCTCAAGCTAATGTACTGGCATCTTTAGAGGGTACTCGGAAGTCAGGGTACACAGCACCTTCTATGTGTATCAGTGCATACTTAAGCCTGGCTTACTGCATTTCAAGGCTGATGTGCAGTGCATTATGTTTAATGGTTCCATCCAAACTCAACATTCATGTTGTGGTATTTGAGGTACAGCTTCCATAAACCTTTTAGCAGTCTGACTATGATAGTCCTTCCAGCCCTGTCATCCAACTCTGCCATGGCACAAGTGAGGAATCTGAAGGTTAGCATATTAAGAAAGCACTTAACCAAATAACTGGTAAAACTGCCAAGAACATCCTACCTTTGTTACAACTTTTGAAAACATTCAAAAAGTTAAAAATATAACATGAAATCATTCATATTGTTTCTTTTAAAAAACCTAAGTTCTACAGCATGGCACAAAGTCTGGAAATATATATTATTTTATAGATTGTGATGCAATATCAATAAACCATTTATTATGCATTTATTATGTTTTGAGATGTGGAGGCTGTACTCTGTAATATCTCCATTAAGAAGGTGAATGGTAATGTGCTTAAACTAGAAAAATTTAAAAACAAACTTTATTTATGAACAGCCTTAGAACAAATGGTATCCTTGGTTGCTGTAATATTGAATTTTACAGATAGAGTTGAACTTTTGTCTCTATTCTGTACTTCGAGCCAAAAGAGAGAGTACATATTTTTCTAACTTCATTTATTTAATAATAATTTCATCCTGAATAAAATATTCACCAAAGCTCTATTCATGAGTTAAAGATATTTCCATTGTTTCCAGAAATGCAAATGATCCCAAAATGGAATTTGCTTTATCTCCAGATTGGCTTAACCCAAAATAGATGTTCACCATAATTTTAAAAAATTAAATACAATATTTGAGCAACCCTATATTAGTGTTCAAATGAATCATTGAGAACTTTTATTTTGCAGATTAAAAATAAATTTTAAAAAAGCATTGTGAAAGTCTAGTGAAAAATGGCATCCATATCATGTAATTTGCCATATTTTGCTTATGGCTAATTTAAGGTGGCACAAAATGCCTAGAGTTCTGATTATTTATAAATTTATAGTCAATTGAACTGTGTAGTCGCAGTATATCTTTGAAAAGGTAGATTTAAAAAAATACTTGACATATTATATTCCCTTGAGTGTCACTGCTCTAGTATACGCATTAATGGTTCTAAGAGTTCAGGTCAAGAATCTAGGGTTAGCAGGGTATAACCACAGGCAGGTTATTGGTTGAGTTTGTTTTCTTTTCTAAATAATTTCAGACATTAACCAGAACTACCTGTGATTATTTTCCAGAAACACAGTGTCCGTTTAGTTCTAGTGTGATTCTTTTTTTTAAGCAGAATGATCAGTTATAATAAAGAGTACTGTATTACTTTTATTTACCAAAGAATGACCTCACTTAATCTTTATTAGAGTTGTAGAATAAAGATCTTGCATAGGCAGGATAAGGCCCAAAGACAAAATTTCTAAGTGAGGCCTTGGTTATTTTAGATTTGTTTAAAAAATACAGTACCTAGATAATGCTTAAACAAAATGGTATGTAGTTTTAGTTTATAAATGCCATTTTTATTTTAGAGTTATACTTCCACTCCATCAGGAATCAGAATGCCAGGTTTAGGAGACACAGAGAGTTTATTACAATGATTTGTTACTTTCTGACTTCTATATAACTCTAAGACAGAAAATGCACACTTGGCTGTAACATTTTCTTACCGGAACTGGGCTTAATTCATTTTTTTCCCTTCTGGAAAATACTGTTTTATATGTAAAAGGCACTGAGCCAGGAAAATTAGGTTCAGGAAACATGTAAAATAGTAAACCAACATCTGTTGTTGACCCTCCCCCAAAACAGCCCTCCAAAACAATGTTGTCCTTTTTTCCCCCGTTTGTATTTTAATGCCCTTTCAGTGAATATATAGGACAGGGGCAAAGGCTGTTCGGTGAATAGGTTCTTTTTCTCTTCACTAGTGTTCAAGACTGACAAAAGAAGAGGCCACTGGTGCTGGTTTGGCAGGAGGTACAGTTGCAGGCCTCACGTGTGGCCCACTCTTCCTATCCTTTGTTTAGCAGCCGCACGTCGCCAGGAGGTGAACAGCGCAGTGTGGCTGATCAGCTAATGTTAGCCCCTCTGGGGGTCTATGCTTGACTGCTTCCCTGTTCCTTCTTTTATTCTATGACCTGACATTCATCCGCATCCATTACGGGGAATGGGATGGTTTCATTGACAGCAGTTCTGCAAAGTTTGGTTCCTTAAGAACTCAAACGATTTTCACTGGACAGTGAACATTCTACTGAGGTCTTCATGTTAGTCAGTGGGAACTGTCTTCTCCTTTATTACTTATCTCTAAGCTAGGGAACAAATAGGGGCAAGAGGCAGAACCATTCAGAGAAAAGGAAACTTCAAAACTTGAGGACTCAATTCAGAAATCACTTCAGGCCACCGGAAGTGGCTTAAAGTTACTGTCTGGTTCATTCAGTCACTTTCCTATCTGGCTCAGAATATCCAGCTTGAATGTTGTACAAATACATACAGCCAGGTAAAGAGCAAGTGGACTTTGAACTTTCACTACAACACCACTCAAAGCATTTGGCTCTTGAATATAGGTGTCAGCCGAGCCAGGAGATTCTCAAACAGAAAAACTCACACTCGCGCCTTTATTCCATTTTCTTAAGGTCTATTGTTAACTGAAGACTCCTTGTCTTTTCAAATTCCTTCATGTGAATGGATGAGGCCAGACATCTGCCAGGATCCGCTCACATTTGCATGCAAATCAGAGAGTCGGGGACACAAATGGCCCTGGAGCCAATGACACCGCTTTTTAGACTTATATTGATCGAAGTATAAATCTTCCTGAACTTTTCATTCTTGTAGTCCTAGCTTTTAAAAACGAAGTAACGGCCATAGTCGAATAATATTAATTAGCTAGACTGCTGTGGTGAAACAAATTGCAAAAAGGAAAAGACATATTATCTTGCACAAAATTCTACACTCAAAAGCCCAAGTCAGCAGTACCACCGACTTCAAGTACTTACTTTATTCTGTGGGTCTGGGAATGAAAATACTGATGGAGGGATGGAATTTAAGAATCCATATTCTCCATTTTTGGCCTTTGCCTGTGTGGTCCAGGCGTCCCAAGCCCATGGAAGGGGTCATTCATTCACGATGTGCACAAGGACCCCACCTCCCGGATCAGGCTAACCTTCCCGTCAGCGTGTCCACGCCTGCTCTCCTTTAACAGTCCCAGAATGGACTTTCCCGTCGTTCTAGGGTGCGCCCCCGCCAGCCTGCCAGGCAGGGACCCCTTCCTCAGTAGGCGGTTGCCGCGTGAACCAAAGGCGCTGGAACAAGTCGGCGGCTGCCCACACCCGTGCCCGGTCTTCACGCAGCCTCACAAAGGACACTCGCTGGCAAACTTTCCCTGGTCCTGACCCTAGCTGAGCAAGGAACCCCACGCTGGCTCTGTTGCCGGAGGGGACCAAGGCTCCTCTGACGTTTCAGCATCCTTGGCAAGCCTCCTGAGACTGCTGCCCCTTCCGAACTCAAAACGTACAGCCTGAGGTCTCTCCCACTAATCCCCAGACCACGAGAGAGTTCAGTGGGTTCTTCCTAATTACCTGACTTCAACGCACTGAATGCTTTGTGAATTACGTCTCTTTCCCTTTTCTCTTACCAAGGCCACCAGCCGATACTTCTTTATCTCCCCCCAAATTGCCACCTTCCTTTCCCCTGTCTTGGCCCTCTTTCCAACTGCCTGGGTTCTTTTCCACGCTCTTCCTCCCCAGCTGTCTTCCTCCGTTCACATTCCCCATACCATCTCTCTTTCCCATCCCCCGGGTCTGTCCCTAAAATCCAGCGGCTTAGGCTTTCATGCCTGTATTTGCTCTCATTTCTGTCTGCTTTTCTTCCCAACTATCATTCTCCCGGACCCTGTTTTTTTGCTGTAGGAGAGAATAACTGGATTCTTGTCATTTTCCCCAGCTTCAGGAGCCGCGCCCCCTGTTACCCTTAGGGCCGTGATTTTATCCCGTGGTCCTCCAAACCCTCTGGGGTTCGCCACACCGCCAAGTTTGCCCCCTCGCTGCCACCCAGCGCTCCCACCGCCGCCCGGCTGGCCCGCGCACTTACCCCAAGGCCCGGCTGGTGGGTGTTGGGGTACGCGCGGACCGGGCACCAGCGGTGGCGGCAGCAGCAGCAGCAGGAGGAAAAGAGAACGAGGAGGACAGGCTGAGCAGCGCCTCCCTTTCAGCCCGCAGCAAACACTGGCTCCTTAGGGGACCCACGGAGAGCACCAAGATCAGAGAGGAGGCAGCAAGGCCAGCAACAGCTGCTGCGCCGTACTGGGTTAAATCCGCCTTTTGTGGGCCAAGGTAAAGGCAGGCAAAATTGGAAAGGAGGGCAAGAGAATTGAGGTGCAGAGGGCGGGGCAGCGAGCGGTCAGGTCCCGAGGAAGACACACAGGCACCTAGAGATGCCGCCGCCAGGGCTGCGCCCACGGATGGTCCCTCTCCCCACCCAGCAGGCGGCAGCGGC